ATGAGTTTTTAAAATTTCGAAGGAGACAACACGGAGAGATGAAAAGGTCATGTATTAAAATTCAGCGGGAATTGGACATTAATTGTAAAGTTTGTTAAGAATGAAAACAAAGAGGCTCTCAGTTGCTTGTTACCATGAAAAAATGTTACTAACTAGACTGTATTTCTATGAACTTCTGATTCTACTGTGTCTTGTACCATGATAAGCATTTTAACTGTCACACTTATTTAAAAGGAGGGAAGAGAGAAAGAAGGTTGTATTGTTTTAAGGTATTGTTCATGTTAAATAGGACTCACTTTAAAATCCCCTTAGGGAGCCAAGCATATATATTTAGCAACAGAGGACAGAAAATATAGCATAACAGTCTGCTTTAGAAAAGAGATGATGAACCACACTTTTCCTTCTAGTATTTCCAACAACACTGATGCAGCTTGCGAGACTAGACATGATCCTGCAAACACTTCTTCACCTAGTCCTCCTTACTCACATAGATGCAATAACTTGGATGGGGATATTCATATGAGTAGGAGTAGGCAGAATGAGAGAATTGGGAAAGGAATGTGCTGTATAGATCCTTCTCTTTTGATCTAGGTAGTTTGTTTCAATGGGTTTTGATTCCCACACCCCATCTATTAAAAAGATGAAACTGTTCTTAATGCAATATAAACAAAAATAATTACAGAAATTCTTCAACTGTTGAAAAACGTCAGCTTTAGGAAAATTGTTATCAACATTACAAGTTTAAGGAACACATTCTACCCTTTAATCTTTGTAACTATCTATGAGTGTTAAGAGTTCTGCTTGCAGATTTTTAACTGGGATATTGCCAACAATCACTAGAAGTGTTTAGTATCTAATAATGCAAGAAAGAGTATACATAACGAAGACCCAGTGGGAATAAAACTGTTTCCCTGAGAATTCTATTACCCTATATATTGTTTCAAAGGGGAAAATCCAGTTGGGCTATTACAGGAATTTTAGATAGAAAGATATGTCAAAATTTGTAGGATAAAATCTTAATTTTAAATATTTTGTTAATAAGACTAAACTAAAAATTTAGGGAACACTGAAAACCTTTGGTGCATAATCACTCACACAAGTAGACCTCAGATTTTGATGGCAGTACTTATATGAGTAATATGGAATTAACAATCTGGACCTTAATCCTAAACTTTGATCCAAGGTGACACCTTAGAAAATGATCTCCAAAACTCCACAGATGATCAGAAATCTCTG